GCCTGATTTTTCCCATTCCGTGTGTTGTCCGGACAGGATTCACTTTTTGAATACTTTGTAAAATTCCTTTTTGGTCGATTTTATAAGTCACAGATTGTGTGTGTGTGTGTGTGTGTATGCGTGCTTTTGAGGGAGAAAATGAGGAGACCCGGTTCAACTTAAATCCGTCCAAAATACTGCGTTCGATAACAACATTCATTTTATTTGAGGATCTTTTACGGAGATTTAAGATCAAGAATGTGAACTGTTTGTGTCCTCTGAAATTAACTGTCTCCTTCACAGTGCACTAGTTGCTCTCTCCTTCTCTCTCTGTGTGTGTCATACATGCACAATTGCCAGTTGGTGATCCGTCTCTGGAACCGTCACCAGCACTTCGTTAACGATTCAAGCAATCCGATTCCTCGATCACCTTTGGGGCTAATGTGGAAATTTATCTCATCATTGCAGTTCCAAGTACATTGTGCACCTCCGGATGTGGTTGAAGATGTTTTGGGGAAACGAAGCACGAAATAGGGGGATGGATTTTGCGGATGAGCTAAACGAGCTAGGAATGATTGCAGGCGGCTGGTCGTATGATCGCAAACTTGGGATATCTACTTCAAACACACAATAAGAGACAATCGACATTTGCATTTTGAAACCACATACCAATCTATCTATATTGGCTCATACGATTCAGTTAAAAGCCAAGCAAAACTTGAGCTACAGACCAGTGAACCAGCGTCAGAATTTGGGTTTCCCATATCTCCTGATTGTCTATATTGCTTTTGCACCATTCACGCTGTAAGAAGTGCGGTAGATCGTGAGCCATCTCTGGTTTGTCATCGAGGAATCAACAGTCTTATTTCGAAAAGATTAGTCCCAACAACCTCTGTCACAATACCATTATTCTGTTCATTTCGATTTCGACAGGAGCCAGATGAGCAGTCTGACGTTCACCATACCTCAATAGCGTCTTGTATTTATTTCCTTTAACGAAGCTATCCCACTGTCTAATATTCGCCTCTTGGCCTAATAATATACGGTTCTGATCACTTCCTGATACTTGAATCCTCCTTATGTCCAAGAACAATGCGCCAAATAAATCTCAGTTCTTAATTTGAACTGACTGTCTTTGGGCCTTCAGCTTTACGCACAATCCTTAGTTCCTCCAGTCACTAGACTCGAGTTTTGCTCTTATTTAAACTCATCAGTTGTGCATATCCTGTCCGTGCTTTGAACTCCGGATCCATCACATGGAACGCGTGTATATTACCACTGCGCCAACCAGCTCATACCCGGGGCTGAACCGAATTGTTAACTCATTTTTGCTCAGGTGTCGTTTTCAGTCCGTCAGTTCGTTGTTGGCCCGACGGCAACGAAGGGAGACACAGTTGACTATCTGTTAACTCACACGTAATTGTTGGTTAGATGCCAAATCTCCGTTCACCATGTAATTGTGTCTCATTCGGTGGTCTCCCCCATTCAAAAGGGATCATTCTGTTCTTCTAGAGAAATGATCTCTGTTTTCTCAATCATCAGGCTCCCACATGATTGACTAGATCATTCAAAGCACAAATTACTTTCCAATAGATACAAAGTATTTATTTCTGGATTGATGTGAGCTCTCACTATGGACCAACTTTTTTGTCTCTGGATGATCCAGTTTCATCCTGCGCTCGCATGGGTTAGTGTCCTGTCATTGTGAGCTCACTCTGATGATGAACAGTATTCCTATGCTCTGTCCCGGTAGACGGAGTTCGTAGTAACCTTTTGCCAATCAACTGTTTTGGTGACTGATGGCTCCTCGGGATCACGGTCCGACGGATCCTATTCCGGGCCAATCTCTGCACTGAACGGGAAGGAGCATAAGTCGATGCGGTTGTCTGTCATTGTCAGTCGTGCGCGTTGACTGCTGGCTGGAAAGCATGTCTATCGAGCAATTTTTAACTCGTGATTCAATACAATTAAATCAGTTACGGCTATGAAAACCAAACTGATTGATTCAGACAGCTGTGATGTTCTCGTTGATCATCTGAAATATGTCTGTCTGCGTGCTACAGAAGTTCCGGAGTTGCATGTGTGTGTGTGTGTGTGTGGGCTTGATTGCGCATCAACAGAGTTGTGCGAATCCCAAATTCACGTAACAAAATCCATCCGTACGATCAACACTGCAGCAAAATGGCCGAGGCAGAACATGTGAATGAAATTGCTATCCTCGCTAGACTGTTCAGTTCGGTCCAGTCCAGTCGCTCGTGCCCATTTCCTATTTAGTTCGTACTTCGTCCTCTAACGATGAAATCGAAATATTTTCATTTATTTTTCTAATATATAAAACAAACCTATTCACTTTATAAGTAATGTTCATTATGCCAGCCGTCAACTGAATGGTTGAAGCTGTGAATGACTGTCATTCCTTTGTGCTAGCGCATTCTTACCGGCAGTATCCTGTGGTTCAGCGTCAATGCAATAGCTGTTATCATCTGATTCATCGCCTGTAATTCTCTCATGATGTAATATTTTCCTCCGTTCTGTCCCTGAATTGTTTTTAACTGTACCCTATTGTGACTGTGATTTAGGCATTCATGATATATCACACCCGTTGTTTCACTGGTTCCTATCGCTAGGCATTTTGCGTAATCTGGTTCGGAGTTCAGGGATTGTGGCTCGTCCTGCTCGACCGGCACATCCAAATAGTCGTCCAATCNCATCCACTGTGGAACAATTAGTTGTGAGTAGTAGTTCGTCTGCCACAACCACGAAAAACACCGATACCGTTGTTCGGGAGGCAGAAACTACCTCAGAAACTCCAGATTCTCATTCCGTCGGTGTCACCGGTGATTCACCTCTTCCGCGGTCGATGACTGCTGAACAGGAACCGACTGACGCTTTACTGGCCGATTTGGCCCGTGTGGCTTCTAGTGCTGCCGCCTCCACCGCCACTCAATCTGGTATACCCGGTCAGATCAATGGAACACGTGCTACCGGTGGTTTTTTCGTCAATCCTCAGAATGCAAACCCCGATCCAGACTGGAACTCCAGCACCAGCACCAACACCACCACTGGCACAACCACTGTCCCGGTCGATTCCAGTCCGCTAACGCGCAACAAATTTTACGCCACTTTTTCAAAGGTACGTGTAATTTGGTTGATGAGCACACACTTCATTCCTTTGTTTTTACGCGCGAAATCACTTGACATGTGTCAATGCCTTACTTCTAATCTACCCATGCGAAAACTACAACTTGTCTAGGCTTGCCACATTTCTAATCCTTTAATGTGTGTGTGTGTGTATGTGTGTGTGTGAATGAGGGATAGGGCTGCTCGGTCATCTGAGGACGGTGGTTGATGAATTGATCGTCTTTCTCCGTGATTCATTTGTCGCTTGCATTTCAATGGGAAGAAAAGGGAACACAGGACACCGGTTAATAGGTGTGCATATTCACTGTGTCCCTTGAAAGCTGAAGTACAATTGTCGCATTGTTCTCCAGGTTCTGTGATAGGTGCATCGAAGACATGTATGGTTCAGTTCAGCTTCTATGTTCCTAATCACGCGCAAGTGTGATCTGTTTGTGTAACAGCGCCAAAATGAACAACATGAGGTACGGCTGTTAAAGCATGCATTTATTTGGCAGATTGAAATCTCATGTTAAAATTGTGAAAATTTCAGTAGGCTCTTTGGAATGCCAGAGTCATCCGTTTAAATGCAGGCTTAAATACTTTCTCCGTGGGATGCTAGATGGAAGGGTTTAGTCGGCTGGCTGTCGGTTTTCGGAAAAAGTAACACACTATGCAATTAAGCCTGCTTTCGGCAATTTGTCGACTAGCCCATTGCGCGTTCGAGCCCCGTCACCGGCACCCAAATTTGGTGGTAGGCAGCTTTGTTATCGCCCGGTTCAATACCACACCTACTCTATCGGGGGCCTTATGTGGTTCGCCACTCCAAGTCCCGGAGCTTAGGCAGCCGGCATTCACCACTGACTATGGGGCTTCTCCAGTTTGCTGTTCATCACAGCAAAAAAGCGCATCTTCTATAGGCCATATTTAACCCATAGTTATGTGTATGAATAACCGTGCATGAAAAGCGATCATGACTGACCATCCCACAAGTTTGTGAATTCGGAACCTGCCGATGAAAATGCATCATCGATGATGAATTTCAACGAGTGCGAAACCCAATGCTGTCTGAACGTACGGCTGATTTGAGAATGCCCTATGAAGCGGTCGAACTGACCTACTATAGTTACAGTGAAGTCGGATTGTAAGGAATACTGCGCAAAAAGTCCTCATCTAGGACATGACGTCATACAAGTGATGTATGCGATTTTGCTAGGTGATAATTTCTCCCCAGAATCATTTGGTATGAGTGGATGCGGGAGGGTCACTTCACAAGACCACGCATTGATCCCCATGACATTCTGCTTGTGTACACACCGTAGGGAAGGTTCCATGACCGCGCTGGAATTGCTTCTGCCAGTGCTACTTTTTGGTATTGGTTCTCGAGAGTGAAAACAATTCATTTGATTGTGGACCATAAACTACTTATCTACCGTGGTAGGAAAGCGTTTCTTACCTGTACACGATCCTTGTTTCTCAAGCCTATGTAAAACAGAACTGTGATCCTCTATCGATTGCATTTACCGTACACCCCAAACTCGAGGTCACATGGCT